CTGAAAGCTTCAGTTAGTATGGAAACAGTAGTTTTTTATTTTATTGAAACTCAAATCCACCTTGAATTGGTGTCCACTTGTGGTCATGACATGATTATGAAAGGCACACACCTGTCTATACAAGGTATCACAGCTGACAATGCATGTCAGAGAAAAAAGGAAACCATGAGATGGAAGGAACTGCCTGCAGAGCTCAGAGACAGGATTATGTTGTGGCACAGTGTGGCACAGATCTGGGGGAGGCTACAAAAAAGTGAAGGTTCCCAAGAGCACAGTGGCCTCCATAATTCTTAAATGGAAGAAGTTTGGAACAACCAGGATTCGTCCTAGAGCTGGCCGCCTGGCCAAACCAAGTAGTTGGTGGAGAAGGGCCTTAGTAATTGAGATGGCCAAGGACCTGATTGTCACTCTGCCTGAACTCCAGAGATCTTAGGTGGAGATGGATGAAACTTCCAGAAGAATAACCATTGCTACAGCACTCCACTGATCTGAGCTTTATGGCAGAGTGGCAGACTGAAGCTTCTCCTCAATGAAAGTTTGCAAACAAGCACCTAATGGATTCTCAGACTGTGAGAAACAAGATATCTGGTCTGATGAAACCAAGACTAAACTGTTTGGCTTTATTTCATGTTCGTGTCGTGTTTGGAATAAACCATTTTGAACTGGTTTTCCCTCAAGTGTGTCTTTCCAACTTATGTCCAATCAGCTGAACTTGCCACAGGTGGACTCCAATCAAGGTGTAGAAATATCTTTAAGATAATCAAGAGAAGTGGGAGGCATCTGGGCTAGATTTCAAGAGTCACAGCAAAGTGTCTGAATACTATCAATGTATTATTTAAATTTTTCGTTTTTAATAAATATACAAAAATCTCCTAAAATGTTACTGGGAGTAGATTGCAGGGGGACAAATAAATATATTCAGCACGAGGCTGCAACATAACATAATTTGGAAATATTGAAGAGGTCTGAACACTTTATGAATGTACTGTGTCTGCTATGTAAGATGGATTGTCAGTGCTGGTCTCAAATGTTTCCAGAGGCGTTTTAAGTGTGTGGAAAGTGTTTGCTCTGCAGCAGGTTTGTGTGTTTAGATGAGCAGGGTTAGGTTGTCGTGGCTGTTAAGAGGGATAGAGATACCAAAAGGAGTTAGAGAGGGGAGAGATAGGTTTGAGTTTGGCTTGGAGCTTTTATGGACAGGGCAAAGAAGGGCTATGTTCCATGCCAGTTGACAGGACCTAATCCACTGACAAGGACCTCAAGGACAGGTTATACCACTTTTCAAAGGCCTGTGTAATACATCTATAAAGATTTTTTTGTTCTTCAGCATGAAGGCACCACTTGGGTATGTGTATCCTCTATGTCTGTGTTTTTACATTAAAAAAAGTAATGATGTAGTTGTTTATTGTTTTGTGCGGTCAACACCAGTCCTTGCTTTTAAACTGGAGCTTAAACCTTTTAGTATTTACTCTATTTTGTCACCTTAGGACTTGTATGGAGTTGTTATTCAACATATATGAAGTGATAAAAATCTATTGTCTACAAAGTTGCTTAAGTAGCTACTGTGAAGACTGGAGTGTGTTGGTTTGATGTTTCTCCAGAGATGCTTGTTAGTTTGTGTGAACGGCATGTAGCTCCGCAGCATGTTTGTAAGTTCAGATAAGCAGGGGGAGGTTGTGTGGGCTGTGTTTGGAGGGAAAGACAGAGAGAGAGAGAGAGAGAGAGAGAGAAGCAGGGCTTGAGTTTGGCATGGAGCCTTCAAATTAGGCAAAGAAGGACAATCAGAATTACATCATTGCATGATCTTATCTACAGGTGATTAAGTGGTTGGCAGCAGTTAGTTAGCCGGTGATATGACCAGCTGAATAGGCTCTTGCTGCTTGGAAAGTGCGACTACCTAAGTAGCTTTTGTGATATAAAAGCAATGAATCTTTCATCACCCTAGCTATGTCTTATTTGTGTCATCAAATCACTTGTACTCACTGTGCTGTCCAACCTCTATTTTTGGACATGTATACGCTGTTTGTATACGCAATATACTGCATAATGCTTTATCAACTGGTATTGCTAACAGTAACAACAGCAAGCAAGCAACAACAATAACAACCTTCAAACTTGTTGTACTGGGACGCGGGCAACTTGACCGTGACGTCATTCCCAGCTCCGACATCCGACTTCCAAGGTAAATGTTATGCAGCATATGTCACTTCTCACTGCCTCATGGGAGCTGCTGGATAAAGTTTTCCTGGCATTCATATCAGTTTGCTGGTTTTGTACCCTCTTGTTTGCTCTTTCATGAAGGCAGTGCACTAACTCCATCCCTTATATAAACTATTTGTCCCATCAAAAGATTTATCTTCAGTGCAGGACACAGTCATCCAGCTGCCACCTGAACCTCATGGTTGTGATACTGTCTTTTGACTGTTTAGTTTGGCCCCTGCATCAGCAAAACATGCCAGTGATATTTACTTTCAGTGCTTGTGACAGTGTGGTCAGTTTGAACAGGATAACACCATTTTGGGAACATTTACCCTCATCATTTTTCCTTCCCTGCGTACCAGTGACCACATATGTTCTGTACAGTGAGAGCTTGTTGTATTTAAGAAGTAAAAAAAATTCAAAATAGAACATATCTGGTAATACTGAAGTCATAGTGAGACACTGAAACATATGTTGGAAAGAGAACTTCAAGTTACTAATCCTGTCACCCCTGTTCTCTGATATCTATGAGCCAGCTGTGTTACCAAGATCACTGTCCTTGTGTAAAACTGGAAAGAGGTAAGCATATCTCAAATGGCATATGACACTGTGCCAACCCCTTTTTATAGGGGAGACGAGTGGCCCCGCATTGAGGCGCCCATCATGATTGCCAATACTGGCTGGAGCAATGTTGTACCGGGGCTTCTGAGGATAATGTTGAGAGGGTGAGACCCCTCCCTTATATAATCGAGAGCAAGGTTTTCAGTCACTGTGATACACACATGGTGTAATCATAAACAGGAAAGGATTTTAATGGCCATGGCAAATCTTACAAAACTTTCCACTATCCAGCGGAGTGTAGTGGAATGGAACTCTTGGTGTTTTGGAAGGGGAGGGGCACAAGACATGGTTCCAAAGGGAGCAAGTTATTCCTGTCTTCCCCTCCCCCTCTTCTTGGAGTAGGGGTAGACATGTCTAGTCATGTCCCCTTGATATATGGAGTAAGAGCACTTGACCAATGGATCCTTGTTGGTGTGTCTTGGCTTTTAAGCATCAGTTGTTCAAAACATTTCTTTAGGTATACCCACACAATGTGAGAAGATACATGTTAAATTTAGCCGCTATAAACACTGTATATTTTTAAACAGTGTACTTTGAATAATAAAAACAAAACAAAGAACCCTTTCTCTTTGAATTGCCACTTGCCTTGTTTTTGGAAAATAAGGAGAGCAGTACAACACTGTTAGCCATGTATGACATAAATGCTACACAGCATGTTTTCTGGGTTCACCTTTATTGCTTAATGTTAAAGAGTTTTGGGGGGAGTTTTTCCTGTAGTGATTCCAGGGTCAAAGGACAGAGAATGTCGTATTCTGTACAGACTGCAAAGCCCCTTGAGGCAAATTTGTGATTATCCTAGATAAATAGAATTAGACTTTACATATTTGTGCCATTGCCCTGATGTTTGCTTTCAGTGTATATTTAGAGATTTGGGTATCAGCCCAATTTAAGCAAACCCGTAGAGCAAGAGGGGTTTTCTTTGAATCGTAAATCAGCTGTACAGGGACGACCGATGGCTCATTAGTTAGAGGGGTGGTGGGGATAAAAGGGTAAAGTCTCCTACTATGGGTTTTTATTGAATTACTTTAATTTTTTAGTGCCTGTGGTGACCAAAGCTGTCTTCAACATGTCCTGGACCACTTAACCTATATCACAACAGGTGCACCATTGCCATTTTATTAGGTACTCCATGCTAAAACTAATGCAGTTTAATATAACAGTCGTGCTGTAAATTCCACTTTCACGAAAGTTATGGCTGGACCAGGTATGGTCAATGTGCAAAATTGAGAACAAAGTTGTAACTGTTGTAACTGCTGTAAACAACTAATTTCAATGGAAAGTAGCAAGAACCTGCTGGCAAAGTTGCTAAATGTTGCTAGATGATGTAATATGCCAATTTGCATAGTAATGACGACATCACGTCATATTTGCACTCTGCCTGTTGTGAGCCGGTTTCAGCCCTTTTTCTGTTTGATTTTCTCCTACTCTCTGTGCTCACATATACAGTGTTTTAATACAGCTGAGTTCACAATAAAGCTGTTCTCATTTACATGTTTTTCCATTTCTGTTGTCAGACAATGTAACAAGTATGAAATGGTGACTGAAATGTGGCCTATTAAGACTAAATGTCACTTCCAAGCTATTTCCAAGCTGCTGCTCTGCACTGCTAAAATTCTGATTTTATAACTGCGATGTCGTCTCACAAAATCACCCAACACATGTTAAAGACAACGGCTGTGCTGTGATATTTACCTGTAAAATGATCACTCACAGAGAGAGAATGGACTAACTTTGCATGGTGTTGCTCTTCCTCAAATGCCACTCCAGACAACTTCCTGTTTGCCTATGCCCATAGTTACTAATGCACATTGGTCTTTTTTTAATTTGTAAACTCCACAACAATGAAAAAGCACTAGAAGTAAGCCAGTTGTGTTTTCAGGATTAGGTCATCAGAGATCTGACATCCAAAACATTTTGAAACCGACAGCTGAAGTCATAAAAGGCAGAGCTCTTAACAGAAACAGTTACATTAAAACTAAACCAAAAATGAAACCAACCCTTGAAATATGTTCCTGTCATAGTGAAAGTCAGACTAATTTGAGAGAGTAAATTACCATTGTTTCAGTTTTCTGTTGTGTCATCTAATGCTGTTTCATTATTAGTCCAAGTTTTTTGTCCACAGAGCATGTTGAAGTGTGTGGAAATACTAATGTACTCTGTTTCATTTGTCTCTCTCTATCCAGACTATCCATGAGCTCCGATTTCCCACACTACAGTTTCAGGATGCCAAATATAGGGTTCCAGAACCTTCCCCTTAATATCTACATTGTGGTTTTTGGGACAGCCATCTTTGTCTTCATCCTCAGCCTCCTCTTCTGCTGCTACTTAATAAGGTAACATCCATTCACCCTTTAGCTTTGGATTTGGCGTCACTTAGAATTTTAACTGAGTATGATGTTGCTTTGTTGTGTGGGTTTGTGACCAAAAGTGTCATACAGTGGTTTCTTAAGCTAGTCAGCATTGTCTTTTCACTGGGAGCAACAAATCATGAATCTGGTGGTAGTGCAACACAAGGCGACATTTTAATGAACCATGTGGACTACATTATCCTGTTCATGCATAGCCACTTTCCAAAAAGCCAAAAATTATGGTTGGTAAACACAAATATGCATTTATCTCAGTGAGACTAAAACTGCCACGGTGAAGTGATAACTGTGTGCAAACCAGGTAACCCGACAAACCAAAATAGCATTGAAAACAGACTGCAGACTGTTTGCTGGAGGGACCTGGTGCCTTGCAGATTTGTTTGTCCTTCTATTGTCGACCCACTCCTGCACTTCACCTTTTTATACAGATTTAAAAGTACAAGTGAATTTTCAATTCACATAACTTTCTTCAGAAAAGATTTTGTGCACCCTGACTCAGAAGACCATAATAGCTTTGAACACAGTGTACCATTTTTGACTAGGAAACTGTGAGTACCACTACTTATGTGGGACTTGAAAATAATAATGAGAACTGAATGTTAATTCTCACAGACTGTCATTATGCAACAGTCCTCATAACACATCCTTGTACATTTCAGGTCACTTTGGCTCGTGAATTATTCATTCAGCAGTGTTTCACTAGCTAGCTCTATCCATATTTATGCATAAACAGGATATATTAACAGGTACCAATGTTTCTTAATGTTAATGGTTTAATATTAATGAAAACTTTGTATCTAGTACTGTTGCAAAAAAAAAGCAAAAAGCCTGCTGTGAAAGTCAGTACTAAATATGTCTTCACCCTGAATTTGTTATGTTCTTGAAATCTACTGTATGTAAAACTGTTACATGAAATATCTTATAATCATGTACTTTCTGTCCAACATACTGTATGGCACTTGTCACTATGTCTTTTAGTTGAGGCTCAATTAAAAGGCTGTCTTTTTTCCTTTTTTTTTTTTTTAGAAATGTGTGTTTTTTGTGTATGTCTTGTTAAGTCATTTCAAAAAAGGGCGAAATGTTTCAACAGCACAGTTTGGAGATGGTAGCTAAGATACAATAATTGGTGACTTGATAGGAAAAACAGTAATATTATGCTGGGATTCAAAGCTGCTTGTCTACATTATTATGATCATGGCACTTGGCGTCAAAGAAACTAGTTATAACCATTTTTTTCTAAGAGCCACTTAACCTGCTAAATATCCACACCATATTACTACATTAATTAAATTTACTTTTGGATATTCATTAAATTTGCATTTGAATGTTTAAATCTCTTGTTTGTAACCATTTATATTCATCTTGTTAAAACAACCTTTTTTTTGCATTAAGCCTTGAGTGTAATCTAATAATTATTTCCCCTAAAGGAAAAGTAGCGGTGGTTACTCGTCATTCCTTTGCCCCTCTTTTTAACCCCACTGGTCTTATAGAATTGTCCTGGCTGCTGTTGCTGCAGGGGTTTTCTCCTGGCAGCGACAAACTGAACAGAAATAATGTCCAGCATCTTTTATCTAAGACAGTGAGAAGCAGCAGTTCTCAACAAAATTCACCCCTCGCCACCCTGTCATATCCTATCTTGCAGGGCATATGGTAAGTAGGTTAACTACCACTGTGTTCCTACAATTCCTTCTAAATGTAAAGAGACATTTATTACTTTGATGCAGTACCATGATTCAGTACTATAACGTCAAGGTTGCCAGTTTACTAAAGGCAAAAAGAAGAGCGATTTTTGCTCCATAAAAGGCATCTAAAGGTGCAGTCTCCCAAAGGAACTGGCCCAATATGACTTAAATCATAACTACCATCAGGTATGATGAATATAAAATTCAATTCAAAGACTCAATGCTGAAAATCATATTATTTTGGTCTCAAAAAATTAATAAGCCTGACGGCTACATTTAAGTTTTTTTCCATTTAAACCCTGAAGGTCAATTGAAAGGACTTCTCCTTCAATACAGTTTTTATCCACTGAGCGCCACAGGGACAGAGGAATGTAAATGTTAAAGCTGACATGTGATAGGTTATTATCAACAAAGGCAGACTTGCACACATGGTTTGAAACACGTAAGACGCCCACAAAAATACTCAACCACCTCTATCAATGAGTCCTCAGTTCTCCACAGACACGTATGTGAATTATGCAATGCAGCATTCAGAAGCATTGAAAAGTTTTTCTTGAGCGTGGGCTGCTCCTGAGTGCAGAAGGCCTTCTGTGGTCATGAAAATAATCCAAAGGTTTATAAATGTGCTTTATAAAGAATTGCAGAGCAAATACAAGATCAGTGAGATCAATCAACAATGTAGTCAGCCCTGTAGATTGTAACATGTGAGGTGTTCATGACTTATCAGCGCAGTGACATACCAAAAGGTAGACCAAACCAGTTGACTGTAATGGTGGCTGACATGCACATTTTACATTTTGAGCCGCCTGTCGACTGCGGTCAAATCATGATAATGATAGTTTTCAGAGGAAGGTCAATTTAGACACAATTTGTTTTTTTTATTTTCAGCTCACTGTTTTCCTCACCCAGTTTGACAATGGGTCAAGGTCCATTTGGCAACCCCCACACCCTCGACCTTGTCCCTTACCTACCCTTGAGAGTTTCTGCACCTTTACCTGCTGACCTCTTTCAAAATGTCAGTTTCTCTCCTAGACTGTGCTGCTTGTTTTACAGATCCCTCTCACTCTGCTGCGAGAGGTTAAGGTTACTTGTAATGGAGGTAAATCTTACAAACCTATGAATTTCTCCTATCTTTCTTCCTGTTGTTTTCTTCCCTTTTTCTGCATATTTATTCTCATTCTCAATACCTAGAATCTCTTCTGATCCAATTCTCTTCTTCTCTTTATTCACTGAGTTGTTTTGTTTTTGCTCATTTATAAGAGCAATGTTTATGAAGAGTTACACCAAGAGTTTGATGTAAACCATAAACTTTGGTTGTATTTGTCGGTTCTCTCCCTCTAACTTGGAGTTGTGCGAGCCTTTGTAGAGTGCCTTAACCTACAGTAATGTTTGTTTAATGTCTGAACCAGTGTATTTTGGGTGATATTGCGAGTTGATATTTTACTATAAGTTCAGCGTTTGTTTTGACAAGAAACCAAGGCTTAAGGCATTTTAAGAAGATACCTGTTAATATGTAACTTGGCTTACTATTGGATTACTAAACAAAATAAATATCTGACAGTGTTTCATTGTCATTTTATTATTATGACTCCACTCCTTCCTGTAACTGGTTAATCCAATATTTATTCAGTAATTAGTCTCATGATTGTTTTGCCTGAAGTACGGGCTGAGAATTGCTTTCAAATTCTAACACCTATTTGGTACCGCTGTGATACACTAGAATAGACTGGTGTCAAAGGCAAGTATTTATAAGGAAATGACATCAATGTTTGTCATTTTTCTCTCTTTTTCCAGGATGTATGGATAGTTTGTTTATGTAGTCAGCTGGAGAAAGTCACTTACTAATCAAAGAGATGTTTTGTCTTTACGTTTCCCCAGGTTACGGCACCAGGCGCACAAAGAGCTGTATGCATACAAACAAGTAAGCACTCCAGTGACACACACACACACACACACACACACACACACACACACTGCAATTTGGAAATTTGAAATCATACGTGAACTATTGTCTAGGAGAAGTGAAGTGTGAGAGTACTGTATATGCACTTGTGTGGAGAAAATCATGAAGATCCCCTCTGGTTCCTAAATGTGCATTCAAGCTGATGCATCAAGTCATTTGCTGAGTCTTCTGGCAGCTGCAGGTATTTCGGGGGTTATGCTGTTAAATGCATTTAGCCCATTTTAAAAATACTTAAATGTTTTAGGAGAACACAACTGCAATATCAAAATTTCTGAATTGCACTTAAGTCGAAGGGAAGCAAGTGGCTCAGTTCAGTTGGGGCTGAGCGTGTCAGCAGGGTATAGCCTGCGAAGCTAGTCAGAGGGAGTGATGGAGGGCATAACCATGAGTCTCATGTCCTTCAATTATGTAATACCAGACTGAACAGCCTCCCATGTCAATGTTAAACACATGGTTTCACGCACGCACGCACGCACACACACACACACACACACGAACTGGCATAGAATGTGCTACAGTGATCACTAACAGTGTTATTTGTCTCCCATTACTACCTGCCAGTTAAATATATGAACTTGTCTAGGTCCGCTGTGAGTTATGTTATGTAAGACCATCAAGCTCATGTATTAGACATACATACTGTACATACACACGCATACACACACATGTTCATGCATTTGCTGGAAATCAGCAGCTATTTTATGGTAAATCTTATCTCTGTATCCTTTATTTAGCCTCAGTGGTTGATTTTTCATCACACACTCATTTTTAGCTGTCAGGTTGTTTTCAAGAGGAACTGCTATCTGTGACAATATTAGAGCGTTAGTGTCAACCAGTGACTAATCTGTCCTTATTATCCCCCTTAGGTCATTCAGAAGGAAAAGGTCAAAGAACTAAATTTGCATGAGGTAAGCACTCATCATTTTTGTTTAGTTATTATCAGTTGATGACACTTTAATATCAAAAATTGTTCCCTTTTAACAACAAGGAGTATCTAGTGGGCAGAACATTCTGTAATGTAACTTGACAAGTACACATTGTACTGTTGTATCACCCAATTTTAGACTAACCATGTGCTTCTCAGTCTTCACAATGCTTCAGCCACACGTGTTATATACTTGCGTCATCCTTTTCATACTTTTATCCTCTTGGTTGTGCAGTAACATGGAAACCCATAATGCACTGGGCCCTCAATTGATTTAAAATAAAGTTCTAAGCCCTGGGACTGTGAAGGGGCAATTTATGTGTTGTGACCATAATGGCTTCAAAATGGACAATAAACATTCTAAATAGTACATAACTACTGTTATGTAATGTGCTTCAGAAGTATGTGTATATGTTTCAGAACATGTCTGCCCAGTTCAGTACACCTCTGGGTTTTTGAGAATGTGTGTGCCTCTATATTTGAGTGTTTCATGGTGTTGACTTGTTTTGCAACAGTGATGACATACACATCATCTGTCATTTAAAACTGAGCACATCTGTCTTGACACACTGTCATGTGAAAACTAGCATCTTGTGGTTAAGTCATGAGTGTTCTCCCTACTGTTATTACATCATGCCGTATGCCAGCTCAGCTTGGTTGGAAAATTACAGCGGAGAGCGTGTAGAGAACAGCACTGGTTTTGCAGTGGAGAGATGATGGTCCCCAGCCAAGAGCACCATCCCTGTAACACTGCAGTGCAAATGAAATGTTAACAATAGCATCTTCATGTGTGCTTTGGCATGGGGCTAAACACAGTTTATTGTCAGCCGCGTTGGAATTTCCCAATGTCCCATCAGGCTTTCATTGTTTATGTTATTCGAAACTGAGAGAAAGCATCAGAAGGTGTCATGTGAGTGAAGTCCATGACAGAATAACCAAGCTGTGTTTGTGTAAGGACAATAATATACACACACAGACACACATGCACGCACACACATTAGCCGGGGTGGATGACCCAGTTTTGAAGACTCCCACACCACAGGATCACACAAGAGACATGACTATAGACTGAGCTGCACAGATCCAGTCTCCACATTTTAATAGAATATCTAGAATAGCAGTGATAATATGGGGTCAGTTTACTGCTCAAGTCATGTAGTTTTTGTGACACGTAACCTGACCAGTTATCCTATATGAGTGCTATTTTTTCAGTATGAGTTTGACCCCTATATTTCTTTAACTCTTCCATATTTTGCATGTAAAGAATACTGTTGTAAAGAATCCATGTAATACAATATGGCATGAAAGTTTAGAATAGCTGCTGTATGTCGCTGTTCACCGACAGTTCACCAGCAGTTTTTTTTAGCCTAATTTTTACAGTTGCAGTTACACACAAGATGTGTGCTGACTGTGCGTAAACAGTCGGCACATGCAACGGATACTCAAACACCCCAGCCCTCTAATAACCAAGAAATTCGTAGTAATTAGTGTCTGTTTTACTGAGGCAGCAGCTCATTATGTAATCAGCCACTGGGACTTGCTGCTATAATGATGTTAATAAAGGAGAGGCACAGTCTAGTGGTGGGACCTTAGATCATCAACCTCATAAAACAATCAATATGTAGTGATGCTGAAGTAAATAGTAAAATAAATTTCAGTATCCACTCATATTACATTTATTTATATATTTCTTTATTCATCTACTGCTATAGAAAGACTTGTAAAGCTAATGCAATAAATATCTTTACACAAACTTCCAGTGTAAAGAAAAAGAAATGGACTGATGTAGAGTGAGACATAAAAGATTACTCATAACAATAAAACATACCCCAGTGGAAATGTGGGTTGTAAAAAGACAAGATTGTGTTATTAAATTTCTTCATTTTGTTACACTTTATTGTGTTGTAGATTTAATTTTAAATGGATAAAATTGCAGCTTTGCCCATCAGTAACCCATAATGACAAAGTTAAAACATAACATAACATAACAACATCCATTAAAGATCAAAAAAATAATAATTCGGTGTTGCTGTGTCACTCCACATTGTGGTCAAGTATATCCTGTTACTTTTGAGTTTCATAAATGGCCTCTAGGCAGAAATATAAGTGTGTTGAAAAACAAAAATGAAAGCAAACAGATGCAGATTTGTAGGATGAGAAAATGAGAAGCACTCAGCATTAATTTACTTGGTAATTGCTCTTTTCACAACAGAAAGTAATAGGAAAGTGGGTGGGGCTGGTATCGAAGTGATGCCACCAAGGTGCCAGGCAACGTGTCCTCCATCACTAGAGAGCCTGTTGTTCTGAATACAACCCCATTTAGGTTAACAAGTGTCTATTCTGGCTACAAATTGCCTTCTGAGGATTATTCTGAGCTTTGGTTCTTCTCTCCTTTTCTCTCTTACTTTAATCTTGTTCTGTTGCTAAGCTTGTTTGGATCAAGCCTTTTCAAAACTGTATTATTTTGTGACTTATTTCTGCTTAACATTTGTTAAATAACAAATTTTCTAGTGGAAATATTTTGTGCTTGACATAGGCAATAAATTGATTTGTCTTCAGCAGAAATAAATAAATCTTGAAATGTATCAGTCTTTACAGACATAGGCTAACGCTTTTTCTTTGATCAAACCCATGATCTTTTCCACCAAATGAAGTCCATGGATTTGCATGAAGTCTCTAACTAAGGCTTACAGGATTAATCGACTTAATCGGGGGAAAAAAGAGTTTCTGTCAAAAGTTGGCGAAGGTTGCCAGATCTCAACCGTGAGTGTGACACTGCAGACAAGGCAATGAAAAGAACAAAAACACTGATCTATTCACCAATAAAGAGAGCAAAGCAGACATCTTAACAGAGGATTGTTCTGTGTCCAAAAATCCTCAGGATAGAAAGCTAGGAGCCTGCATGCTGTTCTTTTCATCCTCACTTGTCCATTCACTCCCTATAAAGCAGAACCGAAAAAAAGAAAATCTGTGTGGCTAAAAGAAGTGATAGTTGCAGGGTTCGGCAGCCAAAACACAGTTTGCCAAATTAAAATCCTCCTTCGTGAAAGTGTCACCCCCTGGTTGGATGGCGTTTAGTGATGGGAATGCTGTGTGGACGTCATTTTTGCAGATTTTTGCCTGTTCTTGTCCTTATCATTACTATTTCTAGTACTTGTCTGGAGAGAGTGTAGTCAGCTTTGTGCTACCTGCGGTATATGTATGGTGTGGTCATCTCCATCTTTCCATTAGCCAGCGATTGGCCTCACTTGGAGGTTCACACTACTCCCCCAAGTTTCACCCCCCACTCCTGATGTCACCATTTGTTACAAATAACTCTGTTAATTCTGGTTAAAGGTAATTAATCTTGATGAAAACTAGATGATCGGTAACAACGATACTCCGACTCCCTTCCATCATCACTTCCTAATTCAGCAGTTGTCAGATACTCTGTTGTGAGATTATCATCTAGCTAAACTGACTCACTTTGTGCAGCCCTGGAGTAATTTCACTGGTGCACTTAGACTTGGCAGTGATGCATTTGATGGAACAGTCAGATATAATAGTTTCTCTTATTGCTGACATGGTCGGGCTTTGGTAAAAGCAGCATTTGACCACAATGACTGCAATTTATACTTTGCAACTGAAATCCTAGAGACCTGAAACAACAGAGTTTGAGAGTGAATTGATTGATGAATGTTTGATTCAAATCCGTTTTATTGATGCCAAACGTTATAGGAAGAAGCAGCCGGTTGAGAATTATACTTTCCTTTCATGGATAGAAGACCAAAATTTTTCAACAACTTGAGTTATTTTTGTACCTCATGCAGTATCCAAAATGCACTTATTCTTATAGCACTTGATGTGACATGTCTGCGATTCATATATTGCTGTTTAGACATAAAGAGGTGTCATTTGATATATTTTCAGGTAAAGTCATGGCAGTTGACCTGTAGCAAAGGAAACTGTGAACTGAGGGTATGATGTAGCATGAAAATAACATGTGGATTTGTGGAACATCCCACTGATGTGGGTGTTATGGTGAAGAGGGAGCTGAGCTTGAGGCCCAAAGTGTCTTGGTTTACCAGTCTATTTACGCTAGCCCCCGCCTTTAGTCAGCGTCTCTGGATAGTGACTGGGCTAAAATTAGATTCCACTGAAAGGAAACGGTTGAGATGAATTTGCCATTAGATTGGGATGCCACCTGGTCACCTCCCTTTGGATACATAACTGGTATTTCTATCTAGAAGGAAACATTTATGGGCTTCAGTTAGGGTCAAAAAGGTGTTTAGTTTCTAAAGTGATGTTTACAAATAGTTCCAAAGTTTGTAGTTTTTAATCAACCTTTGTAAACCTGTACAATAAATCTGATAAAGGTTTGTATTTGATAAATTTAATAAAAAAAAATATATATATAATAAATGAATCAAATCTGGTGTAGTAGATTTTGAAGACAGTTGAGGGCTTAATTTATTCGATGATGCTGTAGAAAATAATGGTTAACATGTAATGTGCTGTGTATGTACGCAAACCCACCTGGGTTGTGAAAGAGACAGCGTCGTCCATCTTGAAAATCTACTACACCTTTCAGGACCTGCAGTGGAGATGAAGGTACTGGAATCACCTGCGCTGTGATTGGACTCTGCTTTGAGATTGGACTCTCATTTTCCAATCACATTCAGGTGTAAAAACAATATCAGATTTTGAACTTGTAACGTCAAGATCACACGCTGAGTTTTTTTTTTTATTTTTTTTTTTTAATTATGAATCTTTTCTACAAATACAAATCTTTTTGACCTTAACTTGAGCCCATAGACACTGGGCAGGCCCAGAACATTCACCCAGAATTATATGTCTTGTCCCACTTTGGCACACCCTGTGATCTCAGGAAATGCTGGAGGAAGTGGATGGCAAGAAGGATGTCTGCTTGGCTTACTGTAACTAAAACCTATATCTGAAAAAAACTGAAAAAATGAATCAGTAGTTGACCCATTCTTGCGTGTGTTTGATTACCACAGCCATGATACTGATACACTACACGTGCTAGGCCTATTCATCATGTCACGCAGGTTGTAACCTGTTAGTGACTTGCTTGAACACGTGTGTGTTTAAAACAAAGGCAATCAACCACAACCTGTCCATCAGGATTTCCTCAGTGACCCTTGAGAGATATTGGACTGACACAGAATGCGGGTATGAAGCCATGAATTTGAGAGATAGTAAAAACCTATTAGCTGTTATTCTCTTTTGCCTCCAAAGATTAGACTTAAACATGTACCAGTTGTCTCAGGTTGGCTTTGATGTCCATTGTGGTTTGGTTCGCTGTTATGGCTCTTTCTAACACTTTTACTTTGGTAACAAAATGTTAAACAAGTTGCCTTTGTAACTCCGTCACAGAGATCTCACACTGTTTTTTCTGTTGAAAGGAAAGAAAAAACACTGCCACTAAAATGTAGCCTCTAAGTCCCCAGTGTGAATTAAGTCAGAGTTATATAACAGAGTTGGGCAATTACTGCTCCCTTGTTTGTTTCAAATGTTTTGCAGATGTTGGCCAGTTGTCTTTTTCCATGTGTGCTTGACCTTTGCTGTTTGGATAGTTTGTTTCCAATTCACCAACAAAAACTCAAATTAAAACCAAAAGAACCAAACACCAGAGAACAGCCTACATGTTCAAAGTTGTTGCACTGTCCTCCTCAGAAAATATCTCTAACTGCCCCTGTCATTTTCAGATATGTGCAGTGTGCTTGGAGGAGTTCAAACAGAAAGACGAGCTGGGGATTTGTCCATGCAAACATGCCTTTCATAGGAAGTAAGTATACGGTTATCACAAACACACACAAGACCAAGGTCATGGCAACATGAATCAATGCAGATTTCCATAACTAAATAGTGCATTTCCATGAATCCTTAACTGCTCTTTGACATTATAACCCACAGTGAGGCCATGTAAAAAGATATTTAAAAAAACAAATAAAATTTCAGTGACTAAAATGAACAAGTCATTGTCAAGTCAGTACACAGGTGGAGTGTGTGACAACAACAATAATAGTTCATTATGATATATTTTTCTACATAAAGGTAAAAGTCAAGTGTGTATGAAGTGAGGAAATATACAGGACATGATAGATTGCTTGAGCCAACTTTGTCCCACACCTTCTCTAGTGCCCTGACCATTTCAGCTGAGTTGTTTATATCAGCACGACACCTCCCTTGGCCTAGTTTTTTTTTCCCCCAGTTGCAGCAAGAGTGGTCACCACTCACTGAATCCACTGTATAAACACTCCTTTTAGTGTGTGTGCAAGTAAAGCCATGTTGTTTCAGAGAGACAACAGACATTCCAAGCAAGCCACTACCAAATAAAAGATCCGCACTGAAGAGCATGCTCACTTCTCACACTTATAAACACAGAAAACAGTATGTGTATGTATGTGCCTGCTGCCATGTCCGTTTAATACTCATGCCACATGTGCTTTTGGAAGTCACTACTCAAGTTTGATGAACTTCATATCGTCAGCTGCTCCACAACTTTGCTCTTATGAACCCCATTCTTGCTCACATGTACTCGCACACATGTGTGGCCACAACTAATAATTATTTGCATTATTGTTTAATCTTAAAATAATTTTTTTTTTCGCGCCAAAGACTGTTATTTTCTCTGGAACAACACCATGTTTTGCAAATTGGGCTTGAAACAAAAAAATGAAATGAATTAATTGTCAGAAGAGTTGTTGATTCATTTTCTGTCAATTGATAGTTTCAGCTCTACATTCCCTTATGTTTGACATTGTGCCACTTAATTAGTGTGGTTGTACAATGTGTGTATGTGTGCATATGCCACTGACCATCATTAAATTGAGAATTCACATTAAATCTGTTTTTTGATCATGAAACATTCACGTCCTGTAGATTTGGAAAGTGGCTGTAAAGGTTCGTTGTTCTTCTCAGAGAACACTGGCTGTGATCATCTTGGATTTCTTGGCATTTACGATTCCTGTAATAAAAAAATCTAAGGAAATCAAACCGCTCCTTCACTCCTGTATTAGAGCCCCACTGAGACTGGGATGTATAGATGGATACCAATATCGATATTGCAATATACAATAATGTATGTGATTTTTTTTTTTAATATATTTTTTTCAAAAGGTTTTCCTCAATTTTTTTTTTTTTTTTTTTTAAATGTGTGTGTGAAAGAGATTCGTCAGTGCTCTCAACTTTGTAATAGTTGCACTGTTTCTAAATGATCACAAACATATCTTTGACATACCTGACACACTCCATTTGCCAATACAATGTTAATAAGCAAAATTTGTCCAATAATACTCTTATTCATGATGATTCCATCTCAACCCTTACGCACAAACCCACCAAGCTTACGAGCAAGTACAAGTGTTGGTTTATCACTCAGTGTAGTCTGTGTTCTTACTGTGTAGAGAGGCTAGAATAGTGACTTTGAATAACCGTTGAGACTTAAGTTAAAAGAAGTGTTTATCTCTGTCTTCCTTGCCTTAACTCTGTCCCTGTTGTGCCCCCTCTCTCCCAGGTGCCTCATTAAGTGGTTGGAGGTGAGGAAAGTGTGCCCGCTGTGCAACATGCCCGTCTTGCAGCTCGCCCAGCAGGCCGGCAGCACAGATGCCGCTGTGCCAATACAGCAGCCTCTGCCTGGCATCGAGAACCTGGTGTAGCAGACTCAACCTCTCTCACTCAGTACACTACAGACACACAAACACACATCCCATCACTCATGCTCTCACCTGTACAGGTACACTTTGGTATGAGTCTGTGGACAGACCGGAGAAAGTGGAGTTACTGCGCAGATACTCACAAAAGCAGTGAATCGGCAGCCATCGTCACCTCTCTTATCTTTGCATTGGTTCCCAAAAGGATTTCCTGATATCAGTACTGACTGATAATCAGCTGTTTCCATGTTTTTCTTTTCGCGGACAATGAAGAAGAGTTGATCTAGTGGAAGTTTCCTTCTCGGCCATGATGTGGTCGATGACTTTTTCACAACCAAAGCACTTTTCTGGGGACACCAGCTAAAGACCAGGATGAAAAAAAAAAAAACCCTTAAGCCAAGAACTACAGTAGACTAAAATATCATTTTTTTTTTTCTTTTAACAAGCACTTTACGAGAAGTCAAACCTTAATTGCTTGTGATCGTAGTAGCGAGGTTATGTTTTATATTTTATCATTTACTATTGTTTCTGTGCACAGTTCAAAGCCACATGGGTTTTCATTTTTAATTAGTAAACTTTAATTTTTAAATTAAAAAAATATATATATATCTCAAAGGGACAACAATACTTACGTCGGTAGATGTCAGGATATTTGGACAATAATTTCTGTTCAAATTGCGCGCACACACACACACACACACGCACACACACACACACACACACACACACACACACACACACACGCACACACACGAGAAAATAACCTCAAAGCAACCTCCAGACTTTATGTCTGACTAAATGTGAAAGGTTTGAATGTGTTGAAACCCAGAATTTTACACACAAATACAAACACTAACACACTTTATATGAAGCCTATAGAATTTGTTCTCTCATCACCTGTTTGTCATTCATTCACGACAATGTTACTGTTGTTATTATACGTTTTTTATTACTCTGTCAAAACAGAAAGGTGATATAGTGAACAAATTATATTTTGAATAAACAAATTCGCCGGGTAACATCCTCTACATACGAGTGCTGTTAGGCAAACCCAGGCTATATGCTGTCAACCCAGGCATCACTCATGATCTTTCTCTTTTTTTGGGAGGGGAGGGGGATAGTTCAGGACCTCTCCAACAGAAAATCTAAATTTCAAAGTAACTACTTCATCTACTGTGATTATCTAAGTAGTATCGGTGTGTTTAACCTGGTGCTTTGTTTTTAAAACGGTTTTACAGAACAAACACCAGTAATGAGGCAATATGAAACAAAAATCTATAAAAAACCATAAATGTTCCAGTTTTATCTTGCTCCGTTGCTGCATTGTTTTTTGAAGCTGAGCTGTGTGAATGTTACGATGGCTTGAGACACTTCGCAAAACAAAGCAACACAATTTCAAACTCTTATCAGTTATCTTTGCTTCTACCCCCGTAGAGTATTTCTATTTATTTTTTTTAATTTATTATAATTTCTTGGTACAGCTGCATTGAGTGAATGAGTTAGCGGATTGACACCTGCATCACAAGTACTGCCCTCAGCATGTCATCAGCATATCTTTTGGTGAAGATACACACTACTTTGTAAAACACACATACATGCACAGAGGGAGGGGCACAGGCCCCCCCACCCCCCTCTGCCCGGGCTGCCAGAGAGTCAGTGGTTGTCAGCAGGTTGTAATGAAGCAGCATTTTCATTCATACACCACACATACAGGGTAGTTCAGCTTTTTGGCTGCAGTATTCTGGTGCTTTCGCTTCTCTCTCTCTTTCTGTACGGTACGGGGTGCTTTTTGTGTTGTGCCACACATACAGTAACTCTGAGCCCTGCTTTTGTGTATGTTTTTTTTGTCCTCATCTCTTTTTAGCTGCATTTAGTAAATGTGTTGTGGGGAAACGTGCTGATGTAAAAGGGGGCTAAAAAAAAAGAGCTGTGCTTCACAGTAATGGCCCTAAGATAAGTTGGAGATTATGTTTTACCTGTGATATGTATTGTCCAATGACAATCATACATCTTCTTTAAAGGCACAATCCGTGATCCAAATGTAAATGCAAATAGTAAAGAGTAGTTCCACTGTGTGTGTGTGTGTGTATATCATATATATATATATATATATTTATATTTATATTTATATATATATAAACCTGCTGTGGGGACAAACATGAAGAAATACCTTAGACAAAATTTAAATCTAATCTGATCTTTTCATAGTGTGTTATGGTGCTGTAAAAGGCCTGTGTTGATGATGAAAAATCAACAACTAAACAGGTTTATATTTGGAATTCTGATAAGTGGAAAAAGACACCAAAATGTAATTTGTCTGCAAATATCTTATACAGTACATCAAATTTAAACAGTAAAAAATTACTGATTGTGCCTTTAACAATACTATATTTCCAATTAAATTCTATTCTCTAATGCCAAACACTGTCATGGACAGAGTTGCACAGGTTCCCAATACATAGGCGGTGCGACAAGTGACAATGCATTTCACCCTCTGTGGCAGAAAAGCATTATTACTTTCACCTCTTTGTTTTGAATGTTTCATCTCTGTTGAATGTCTGCCCACACCCCACAGTGATGACCTTTGTGGTGGGGTCAGAGCATGCAGCAAGGTGAAAATGTCAACATTTAGATGAAAGCAAAAGCAGTTCTCTGTCCCATGTGTAGCATTTCAGTCAGCACTTACATGCCCTAAAAAAAAAAGTCCAGGCCTCATATAGAATGCGTTGCTATGCTACTACAGATGACAAACCTTTTAGCACTTAGCAAACTAAAATGAAATCAAAGAAAGATGTTGTCCACATTAGCCTTATTTGAACAAAATCTGCCTCAATTACAAAAAAAGACCAGGACTATGTTAATTGGCATTATCACAACCTCTTCACTCTACAGTGGATTGATGATTTACTTTATGATTGAAGTACATCATCTGGCCTGTCACTGAAAAGGTTGTGGTTTTATGTTGAACAAAATATGCAACGTAAAAGCCTTCTTCAGTAGGTTGTGTGATGTACTGTATTTGGTACCTTCTTACTTCTCAGTCTTTGGTTATGAAGAGGCAGTGGCTGTTTCTTAGAATATATCTCACTTATATCTCACTGCACATGTTACAAAGTGAGACCCAACATCCTTGGTCACGTATTATTCCCCAAAACTTCACTTAAACTAAACATTAGCAAGTAATTCTGCCACTGTCCCCAAAACATGACACATTTTGTATCTCAGTGCTAATAACAAAAGTCTTAAAGCTTTGTTCCTGCTAATTTTTTTTGTCTTTGAATGTATGATTCACGAGAGAAAGAAAGGAAAATGAGATTTAATGTGAAAGCATGCTATTTTGCATAGTCAAGTTGCCACTGATATCACCATTGTTAAATGTATGTAGAGAGTAGTGTCAGTTGTAGTGTATTTATACATAAGGTGCACAAGAAATGCTCCTTCATATAAACTAAATGGCAGCTGAACACTTCTGCCATTTGGCCATCTTAAGTGTTGTGTTTGATTGTAAACACTTTTAGCCTTTCCACCTGTACTTCCCTGTTTCCCTCCTGTGTGCCGTCCTAATCCCACTTAAAACAAAGTGCCAACCCAGAATGAAGTGTTACGAATCAAAGTCCGAGCCAACAAGAAAGAAGGTCCCACGTTTTGAAAAGAAAAAGGGAAGAGTTGCCGTCAGATTATGGCCAAAAAAAGAAAGGAAACTGAGCCAGTAATAAATGGCTTCCCACCAGTGAAATCACCATTGACGTCAGTGCTGCTTCTGAATGAACTCCATTATAAATAGAGAAGACACAATCAAATGCAATGCAACAGTCAGTCAGGAACACCGCTTCACATCAAAAATGAACTGATACTCAGAGTAGAAAGTGTCTGAATGATCAGGTATCAAAAAGTCCTACATATGAAGGTCCCTTCAGGACACAGCTTTTGATGGATGAATGTGAATGAAACTCTGTTTTATTAAAAAACAAAAATAGAAAATTGGTATACTTTCCCTTTTATAGATGAGGGGTTTCACTATAATTCACATGGTTGGTTTTAGCAACCAGACCATTTAGGATTCTCTAGCACTGCCTCCCTGAAGTGAACTTTCTTCTTGTTTGTACGGTGTCATATTTATTCCTCTGTAGCTCCCGTAGTGTCCTTCCAACTCACAATTAACTTCCCCCACTTTGTCCAAACAAACCCTCCCACCTCTACCAGTGTACCTGAGTACACCCTCTGCCCTCACACCCCTTTTTTGTTAACACTGATTATGTTTGTGGACTCTCACAGACATTGTTTGTAAAACTAAGAATTCTGCAGCAGAATATTTTTGGAGACAATTGCTGTACAGTATTTGTAAGCTCTATTTTTGTATATTGCTTTTTTGGAGAAAATAATATGCATTTTTCTTTTCTTGTTTTTGCTAATTTCATGTTTATTCATTTTAAGAAAATGTTGCATGTGACTGACTTGAACTGTAAATAAAATTTCCAAGTTTTTGGAAGATTTGAGGGTTTTTCCTTTCATACGTGTTCAAAATGTCTTTAACTAAAGACAATAAACTATGACTCTGATTACGATCCAAAGACGGTACTTAACAGCATGTTAAAGATTTCACTGTCATACTAATGAAGCTTTGGAAAGTAATCAGACCTCAAGTCTGCCTCTCTACAAAATACTGAACAAGACAATTCATTTTTGGTTTTTAACAAGCCAAACATTTCTAGAAATATAGTTTTGCTGTGTCATCATGGTTTATTGTGTGTAGAATTAACTTCCAAAAGATAAAATTTAAACCGTTTTAAATTAAATATATAACACAAACCACCTTTTCAGATTCACTTATGGAGTCATCTCAAGTAAAGTCACAAGATTAGCAAATGTATTGTACTTAATTGAAACTTTACTTTACCTACAGTAGATATACATTTAAAGTTACAGACAATATTCAAACAACAGAGACATCTGGTGGTGATAACCTGAAGTTGAAGAGTGGTGGTTCAACTACTGTTCCTTGGCACACCAACATCCTACGCCTGAAACAATAGACAGTTTCTCTACTCTAATTATGCTAAAGTCTAAAGGCATATTTTTCATCAGGGATCATACATTATTGTTAGTACGCCACTGATACAACATTACACTATAACACTGTCAGACTCAAGATGGACAGGTATGGAAAAAAAAATTGTTATAAGCATGGATGCATTATAAAACATCAGATCGGACAGAAGCAGATTTTTTTTTTTTTTTTTTAAATCTTTTTATTTCATGCGCTCTATCGAATTGGCAAAACTTGCCGCCAATATTACCCACAATGCAACTCAACCGCTGACATCTCTCTTGATTCGGAAACGCACCGAACTTGGGAAGTGGGTTAAAATCTTTTATATCGTTCGTCGGACAAAACATTTGGTCACCCAGATGGTTAGAAGAGTCTTGGGGGATTCTTGGAAATACCTTAAGAACAACGGTAGGTGCTTTTAAATTACCTCACTGATCAATAACTAACTTGAGAGGCACAAGCTTATAAGCTATAGCTAATCTTATGTTAGCACGAGCACAGGTGAGGAGTGGCTACAGAGATCTGGTGACAACGTATCAGGTGTAGAATTCAGTTTCCCCAAAAAAGGTTTTACATGGTATACAGTGTGAAATTTACTTTGCTAAAGTGTGAATCCTCTCTTGCCTGCTGAAATGTTTTGCATGTGGTTGCCGATGCTGTTATCAGATTTTGCACAGCTATTCCTCTGGAGCCAAAAAGGCTTTATACAACTTTTTCCACACATGCGGTGGTACTCCTCAAGACCTGTAACCTTTTGCGTGCGTAAAATATGTTAGCTGTTCACTCCATGTCACATAAGAATTATTGACATATAGTATGACATACCGTACCTTTTGCAGCCGGTTTCACACCCATTCACACCATAATACCTGTGACTAACGAGCCTCACGTGACTTCCATGTGACATCAGGGAGGGAGCCTTGGTGCAAAGAAGGCTTGCAGTTACAAATATTTCAACTCAGCAGTATGTCTGTTTTAAATGACGTACTTTCTGTTTACACCTATTTTAGTGCCTTATAGTGTTTATACACCTTACGTTCTTATTCCATTTTTGTTACACTTTTGTGCAACCAATTGAACTGCGTGTGTTAATTAAGCCAATTAACGCTTCACTAGTAATCACTTAGGCTATTAAGTTTTTTCTAGAAAGTTCAGTGAATATGTTTAGGTTGAAAGCTTGTGTGTGAAAATTAATTGGAACTACAAACCTGACCTATAAACCTGCTTAACCATATATGAAAGTACAAGAAACACTAAAGTATGTGCTTAGTATATTCTTATAGATAGATCATGATTATTACAACCTCTTCAACCAGTGACATTTAGAAATCCCAACTACTATACTGACCCAAAACACATTAAAACACACACCACCAAAAATTCACCTAAAAGCGCCTTTAAAGCAAATGTTGCATTGTTAGCTGCCCTGGCCCTGCTTCCCATAATTCATCCAATCAAGTTACAGTATATTGTGCTAACACAGCACATAATTCTCAATAGATGTGTGCTTAATTAAATTAACCACTAACTAACTGACAAATAGCACATCAGGCCACAAAGGATTTCAGCATAAGAGAAGTGACTGGTTTCTGGGACTCTAGTTAAAATATAATTAAGCTTATCATAGATTTATCCTCAGTCATTGCACACTTTTCCTCATTTGTAATACAGGTTTTATTCTTTTGTGTCTGTTTGACGAAGCAGCCGCTTATGTAATTGCATGTACAAAGGAAATGAATAACTGACTGATGTTTTCATTTTATTTTTGTGAACCAAGAACAAGACTTACATTTTGAGTAACAGTCTTAAGCCATTCTTTGAATGTGGGAGAGGCCACTTTGACAAATAGTCTCTGTCTCAGCAAGTCATTTTGATGTATGGTGACATACCTAGGATGCATTTAAGGTCATTAATCAAAACCCTTTCTCACTGCATGATTACAAAAGAGAAAAAAACTGACATTAGAAGGAGACAAATTGTGGAAAATGTCATTTTTTAACTACTTAGCTAGGAAGACACTAGCTGAGTATACAGAGGATAATGTGTTTCCAGTCAGATGAAGAACCTGCATAGTGACATGGTAGTTAGGACGTGCCTTTTTATTATAGATCCAAAAGTTTGAAAGATATTTTCAACGTTTGTTTCAAGAGTCTGTATCATTTTATTTATCTTAATATCAAATAACAACCATTCTATCTTTAAATGATCAGGACTTGTTTCTTTAACTATTTTATTTCACATAAATTATAATACACTTTAGTTGTAATTTCAAGGAAAATTAACTGTTGTATTTGCGCCTGATTTTGAGACAACAGTTAGAAGGTTTACTAAAATACCACCCCCAAAATTCGAAACACTGGTACAACTTTGGCTTGGTTGGTTAAAGTATGTGAAAACAGGCAATTTGACATAATTTTTAGGGGAAGAAATGTCTGTGCAGGAGGAGCCTTGAAAAGAAAACAGTCATGGACCACCAATTCCTGAGTAACTTAAAAGGGAGTTGCGATAAAAAGAAACAAACCTAATTGCTTTGAGTTTTACCAGACTTTTATTACAACATTTTACTACTTTGTATCATCTAGATTTTTTTAAACCTATCAACAGCAGTGCTTCATAATATGATTGTCATAAATTTAAACATAAATTAGATACTATGTGAATTACAATAACTGTTCTGATAAAGACAGTACAACCAAGTTACACTGTAAAGAAGAACTTGAAGAGAACAACGCTGAGGTGACAGAAAACCAGACTGCTGGTGTACGTGATCCCAGCATGTGCAGCAGCAGAGTTAGTGGCAGTGGTGTTTGATGAGTTTGTTGTTGTGGCACCAGCAGCACTTGGCGTGGCACCAGTGGTTGTCGTGCCACCAGCAGTTGTGGCGCCAGCAGTCGTCGTGGCACCAGCAGTCGTCGTGGCACCAGCAGTTGTTGTGCCACCAGCTGTCGTCGTGGCACCAGCAGTCGTCGTAGCACCAGCTGTCGTTGTGGCACCAGCAGTCGTCGTAGCACCAGCAGTTGTTGTGGCACCAGCAGTTGTTGTGGCACCAGCAGTCGTCGTAGCACCAGCTGTTGTCGTGGCACCAGCTGTTGTCGTGGCACCAGCAGTCGTCGTGGCACCAGCAGTCGTCGTAGCACCAGCTGTCGTTGTGGCACCAGCAGTCGTCGTAGCACCAGCAGTTGTTGTGCTTGAAGTGAATACGTTAGCACAATCAGTCGTCGTAGCACCAGCTGTTGTCGTGGCACCAGCAGTCGTCGTAGCACCAGCTGTCGTTGTGGCACCAGCAGTTGTTGTGGCACCAGCAGTCGTCGTAGCACCAGCTGTTGTCGTGGCACCAGCAGTTGTTGTAGCACCAGCAGTTGTTGTGGCACCAGCGGTCGTCGTGGCACCAGCGGTTGTTGTAGGTAGTGCAGTTGTGGTTGCCTGGCCATTTGCTGATGCTATTAATCAATAAATAGAACATTAATATAAGAAAGGACTCTACCCCGTTTTCAAAAGATTTTACTTACATTTTACTCACCAATGATCAGGAGTTGTATCAGAATGATCAGAAGCATTTTTTTCTCTGTCACAACTAAAAGAAAAAAGAAAATGTTTTCTTACTGGATCAAAGAAAACAATTTCTTCATTTAACATCCAGGTTAAAGATTAACTCAATCTATCAGAGATTTCTAAATTGTATATCTTAAAACACAAAAAATGATGATGAAAATTCTACACTAAAATATATTAACCTGAATTGTGCAATGAAGTCAGTTAAGCC